ACCCCTGACAACAAAACATCTTTTCACTGAGACAACATTGAAATCGGGGGTGCGGGGGTGGTGGTCTGCTATGGTGGTTTAGGGTTTGATTAATTTGTCCATCTACTGTAGGAGAAAGGACGCTAGTAGGTTGGAGGCCATCGCTCAGAGTTCGTGCTCAGCGATGCTTGCAAGGATCGGATCCCTCCTTTTTTTTTCTGTACAAGGAACATCATTTCTAAGGGTCATGCACTTCAGCGCATCCCTGAAAGCCTGTACACACAAAGCACCGAGGCAGTGCTTCTTCATGCGATGTTCCAGTTCCCTGAGCTACCTCAGAAAGCTTTAGCCGGGAAAAGATCTCTTTGGTGCACTGGGGAAAGTAAGGCCGTTCCTCTGGCAGTGGCGCATCAACTCCCCGGCCTTCTTCATGCGCCGAACAGACCTGGTGAGCCAAGCTGGTGACGTCTTGGATGGAGAGTGCATTTTGGACATAGAAACGAGAAAGCGTTCCCTTCATTCCAATCTGAATTGCTCTCATTTCCGGGTGCTTTGCCGGCTCGCCGCCCTCGCCCCTATCCAGACACCGTGCAGGGTCCCATTGTACGCGACCCAACGTTCCACCACCGCCGTGCCCACAGGCACATTGGCTCAGAATCTCTGCGACTGCGGAATGTGCGACTTTGATTTTCAATATACGACTTTGATTCGGATCTTTAAACCCATAACCGGCACGGTACAGCACCCACGCCAAGGAAGGCTTAATCCAAGTCATCCGCTCCGGCTTGAAATGAGGTCCACCAAATTGTTGTTCCTGAACGGCCCAGTCTGCTATGTGCTCATTGAATGCCTGGTAGAAGAAGACTCCTTCCTCATCCCATTCTGCCACAAACATATGGCTCGAGCGCGACTCTTCCGACTGCATCTGGAATGGGAACCTCCAGTTCTTTCTCGAGACGTTTACGGCTACAAGTCCACGCACATGCGATGAAGGGAAACTACCTGTTATGTGTACCAGGTACCAATGTCCACGTGGACACTATCTCAACACGCAACCTTGGTTATGTTCGGCCTGCAAAGCTAAGAAACTCCCGTCTTGAAACAATTTACAGGCCCTAGTCATGGCCGGATGTACATTTGCTGTAATTATATACTGTATGTGTACTGTATAAAGGCCAAAGTTTCGCCTTTGCATAGGTACATCGAAAGGGCCTGCTGAGGCCTGCTGCATGCTGCATGAAGAGTCATGCCCAAAAATGCTGCCAAAAAGCCAAAGTTTTTTGCCCCCGCATCTGAGCACCGCAGGTTGGCGCATTTCTGAACCTGAGACTTGGCATGCTCTTTCTGAACTTCCACACTTTGCAAAGCTCGAGGTTGATCATGGCATGTATGCTTAAAACTATATAACTTTGATTCAGGGTTCTACTGAACCTTGGGGCCACTGCCAATTAATGGAGCAAAGACCTTTTGGAAACCGATGTCCACTACTCTCAATCTCCTAAGCCGGTTCGCGAGCGTTGCTTTGCTAAGGGGTATACTTTCGCGACCCCGCAGGAAAAAAGGTAAAAACATAAAATGTTCGTGTTCTACCGTTTTTACCGCGGATACGGTAGAGTAAAAAGGGGCGCCCCCCCGGTAAAAACGGTAAAAAAAGAAAAAGATCGTTTATTTTACCATTTTTACCGCGGATATTGTAGAGAAAAAAGGGGCGCCCCCCCGGTAAAAACGGTAAAAAAAAAA